TGAGCTATTCCTGTGTCAGCAGCCCCTCTAAATAGCTGTCTTGAAATAGGCTAAAGAAATATATCTGAGTTGGAACATTTCGATCTCCTGCATGGCTTAACTTAATAACTATAATATTAGTTAAGTTATTAATAATTTAATCTTTCTTTAGTATTATGTATGTTTATAACATCTCTGTACATTTTTACCCTTCTGTAATTGAAGAATGCATTTTTGTGTAATTTATGTAAATACTTTCTGTGGTTAATTAATACAATTATTTAATTTTAATTAATGTTTTTTAATAAAAGTAAATAATTAGCATTTAGAAAATTCTAGCTGATATCATTTTTTTAAAAAACTTGTCATGCAAAAAAACAATATGTGAAGTTCAATCATTCACCAAGATGTACCTGACTAAAATGAAATTAAATGGCAGTGTTTGCAACTGCCCTGTTATTACTATGCTAGGCACAGTGCATCCTTTCTTGCCTTTTCCATTTGGTTTTAACAACATAAATGTACTCTTTATTTATGTATAGAAAAATATCCTTGATCTTATTTTTAATGTAGATTTTACTCTTCATATTATTTTATAATTTATATCACTCAACTATATTATGAGCTCTTAAATTAAGATAGCATGTTTACTGCATTATCTTTATTACTTGCAGTATTCCATGCTGTACAAATATACTTTCATTGATTACATATCATCTTCTCTGTGGACACCCATCCTGTGTTTTACCCCAGTCTGCCACTTCTATTTGAATTAGTTTACAATAACTTTCCATAAAGAAGTTTAAAATTTTTATGTTTTTAAATCTTTCTCCTTGTTATGGATTTTGGAATTTAATTGCCATATTAAATGGTCTATTCTCATCCAACATTATATAAATTTTCTTCATTGTTTAGAACACTTTCTTTACTACACTTTTATTTATGAATTCAAATGTACACATTTTAAATTTAGCTCAATAGCATTTTATTTGGACTTTCTACATTGCATATTGATGAATTTGGTCTTTTTTTTACCTTTGGGTTATCTTTTTCAGATTCGTTATTATGGTTATATTTGTTTAATAAATGAATTTGGAAGCTTTTCTTTTTATACTGTGATGTGGTTAGCATAGGAATTATCTTTGCAAAAAAGTAGGTTAGAACTTAAGTCATAAAATCAGAGAACCCACCCACTCATCCCCACCTTTTTGGTGGTGGATCTTTTAACATATTTGTTTGTTGGTTGTTTTTTTCCCCAAGTTATTGGTGTATTTAAGCTTTCTGTGTTTTCTTGGCAATTAATTCTAATCATCATCAACATTCAGGATTAACAGAGTATGTACACAGCACATTATCTAACCTGTGATAGCTACTGCTGCCTTCCTAGTTTCATAAATTACATATAGCATGATTATTATTATTATTATTATTATTATTCCTTTAAGGTTTGGGTTATTATAAATTGAAGGAAAATTTTTTAATATCTGTTCTGTCACATAACTGAAAAAAATGTTTTCAGATTTATTTTACATTAACTCTTTGAGAGAAACCTTTAAATATTGGGCATGTTTAAGTACTTCTAACTGTGGATCTCCTTATGCATTATGATCAGACAAGTTTGTAATGCTGTGTGTGATAGATAATTATATAATCATCTGATGAAACTCTCAGCTTATCTCTGATGAAAAAGATCTGGACTTAGGGGGAATTACCAACCCAATCCGAAGGACTCTTTTACCTACAAGCCACTCCCTCATGTAAGTCCACCCTTGTAAACACA